TGCATCCAGCAGCGTCACATCAGCAGCGAAGTCCGTACACGACTCCAGAACCCCGACGGTGGCGACGAACACTCAGGTTGAGACGACCAACACGGCCCACGCTGACCACGAATTCGTACGATCTCTTCTTGAGGATGACGACAACAGCGCAACCCAGGGCCAGGCCTTCGTGGAGCACAAATTAAAGAAGACGCTGACGAATCCAAAGAAAGCGAAGAAGCTGTACCAGTACTGGTATAAGCAGGGATACACTGCTGAGCAAGTTGCCAGCGACTTAGGTCAGACTGAGAACAGAGAGCTCGACCCGACATACAAGAAAATCTCTAGCGGTTATGCAGCGTACATCAAGGAGCAGTCTGCATAGTCAAATGTCCGTCCAAGCACCCTCGGCTTACCGGTAAGGTTAACATCCTCCTCGAAGTAGACAAACCCCGCGTAGAGGTGGAAGAGCTTCAGTTGATGCTCACAGAATACAGGTACTACTTACTATATACCTCGAAGTAGTACCGCTCAATAAACAATAATTTGATACACGGATTTATCACTGAGGTGAAGGCTGCTGTAGGCAAAAGTGCAAGCGATAAGTGCGTTTACGCCATATCGAGTTTGCTTATGGTACATTATTCTACTACAACCATTTCTTCAATAATTTTGCGCCGACTAATACTTACAGAACATTACACTATTACATGCAATACATGTACCATTCCTTAGCTACAAGTAAAGTATGGAACTGTAGTGTTCTGTGAGCTCGACGGGCATCAGCTAGAGTCGGATAACAAAGGCTGTGAGAATAGCCAGTAGGTCTCGTGCTTCGAGTAGAGTGTTTCGGATGGGCCATTAGCCTCCACCTTTCAGATAGACATTGCTGGTAGGCAGGGGTCGTAAATAAATATTGCAATTTAATAAATTATTGGATTTACAATAGAAATATCTATTATTGGGCCAGCTCCATTTCAATTCAATAAAATTTGAACCAATTATTGGTAATATATATTTTAAAAAAAAACATGAGAGAAACTTGAAGAAATTACGTGAATTTTTTGGTTAACGCATCAAACGCAACATCGAGTCGTCGAGATTGAATGGGTCCTCACTCTCGAGCTTCGTAGCTAGCTCGTTTCCTGCCTCATCACGGCTCCAAGACTGCTGGACTTCCACCCGTCGACGTCGTGATTCCATTTGAACCAGCGCGTGGGATCGACATCAAAACCGGCAGCCACAATCGAGTTCAGCACAACGGACTGAGGCATGTTGAGCCACACTTGGCGCACCCAACCGCACACAGTAGCCACAGGAGGCGGGCAAAAGTTGTCATTGCGAGTGTACTCCACAACGTCCGAGCGCTTCTAAGCGTCGATCAGGACCGATATGTTTTCCTTGAATGGTGTTGATTGAGCGCTAACGTTTCGGTCTTGTAATCGCAGTGGGCTTCTAATTCTAGAACAGCATCGAACATTTTGTAAGAGACTTTTTATTCGTAAAAAATCATTAAAATAAACATGCGGCAATATTTATTATTGCTTTACTTAAAATTGAAATCTTTATTATTGCCAAACACAGACACCAACACATTTTTCATTGTATTGGCGGATCCCTGGTGGTGGCAAACCATGTAAGAAAATGGATAGCGAGAGCTACATAAGACACTATGAGGGCGAAAAGTGACTGCGAGAGAGTGCACTATATGGATACAGAAATGGATATTCCCACCACATAGTGGGAATAACATGGCTACCGGCAAGTATTTTAATACTACTACTAGTAGACGGAAGTGAGCGGGTGCGAGGAACGTAGCCGTAGCAAATCCGAGCGGGGTGCCCGCGACGCAGGTCCGCTCGGTATTTGCGTAGGCGGCCCCAGCGACGAGCTCACCAGCGAACGGACCCGTTACACTCTCCAGTACATTGTTTTTCTGCCGTGGAGGTCTGGGGTGCAACCCCACTTCCTACGCTGTTCAATATATAAATGAAACTCAACTACGTCCACGTAGTCAGGTTATTCTCACCACGTGGTGGGAATATCTATTCCCTGTGGAAACATATTGCGATGGATAAGATCCATACAGGTAAGTAACACAACAGCGCCATTATATTGATGGCTACGCTTGCTCAATGCAATTGACGTGTGAATATTGCACAACGCCGCTACATGTATCTTGGAATTTGCGCTCCAAAGAGGACAATCGTTTATCAGCACGCTTTGTCGGTAACAGTCCGCAAGCACTGGCTAGTTTGGACGGCCCAAGAGACAATAATGACTCGGTCTTTGAACATGTAAATCTAGTTACTGATAACATGATCGAAAACACAAGCCGAGCTGATCTATGTTGTTCCTACTTCATATCGCTTTATTGTATCGCTTTATGGTCAGCTCACCAAAAGCGTCCGCTCCGGTCACCATAGCTGCTACTTCAAAGTCTCATCTACGAGCAGAATAATCAACAGCGATAATCCCCGAGTAGGCTGTTTGACGGGTGGGTTACCCACCGCCCTGTGCTGACGT